TTTCCTGTTCGCCACATTCGATAAGTGGGGCTTTCATCGAATTTACTTCTATTTTTACTTCCTTGTACGAAGTAAAAAGGAAGTATTGTAATCGCGAAAAGCTTCAGGCAGCATATTTCAACGAAAATATCCACTCTGACCGCTTTCGAATGCAATTTAACGATGTTTTTGCGTGATATCTATACGTAAGGACAGAATAAAAGACTCTTTTCCTCCAAAAAAACTAAAAAACTGCTTTAAAACGAATTCTGAAGAGAATTTTTCGTGGCGTCTGTACGAACGTATGTACGTACGTGCGTGCGTACGTACGTATCTCGCATAACTCAAAAACGAGTAGCCTCAGAACGTTGAAATTTTGTATATAAGACTACTATAACATGTAGATGTGCACCTCGTATTTTGGTTTCAATCGGCCGCGCCAAACGTATATAAATATATTTATAAATATATCCACTCTGTTACCCGGCTCAGTGATCTCAGCTTCTTTACTCTTATATGTTTGTAAATTGTACATTTTTTGCTTTAAAAATGATTGAATTATGTTTTTTATCTTCCGGTTAAAGTTTTTATGCCTTTCGTAATTCTGGAAGCAATGTTTGTACAATTATCAACAATTTAAAAGCTGTTTAAGTGCGGTTAAGTTTTAAATAACATGGCGGACATATTTGTTTACATTTGAAACAGCAGAATTGTAGATTTGTTGCCAATCTAGAGAGACTAAGCTTCGCAACACAAAAATAACGCCTTCATTTATTATTGCGAATTAAATCATGCTTAATACTTTCTGGAATTTTTTCGAGGAAATAAGCGTTTAAGATTTACTTCGTAATTTTTAATACAGATATTTTGAGTTTTTATGTGTTTTTGCCTTGTTGGGAAGTGAAAACTGAATTAATTGAATGAGAAATACTCAATCGTCTGTGAAAAACTGTTTCTTTTTCGTTTTGTTTTTTGCTTAATTTCTCTTTATACATCGTTCTAGCTTTATTATAGTATTTGAATAGAACATGTGGCAACGATTAGATAATTCTTTAAATGATATAAATTTTGTGCATTCTGAGTTATAATATGAACGAAATATAATACTAATAAGTAAACCTAGTGCCAGAGTGTCGATTAAACAGAGTGTCGGTAAACGATGTGAATTTTAATGAATGCATTTATTCTATTGTGGTTTATGCGCTGTCGGCGAAGTAGGTTTAATTCAATCTAATAAGTTAAATGAAATGCAAGAAAAAATGCGTATAATTTAATATTCCGTACAAGGAAGTCATGTGGTGTACACATAAGATTTTTCTTTCTTGATAAACCAAAGTCAGATATCATTCCCAAAGAAAGAAGGCCGTACATAAAATCTTCTTTCAAAACAGAATCTTTAAATGCGAAATAGGTTAGGTTATTTGTATATAGCAAAGCTTATGAAGGTATCTGGCTGCAAATGCGGAGTAATGTGTAGTTTCTTTGCAAGAAAAAATCATACCAAATTCAATTTTAAAATGCTATCTATATTTGTAAGTAAATAAAACTGAGGTGTTTCTATAATTTACTTTTTATTTTATGTCTTTTCTTTAAAGTAGTTTACCTTTTCTTATCTACAACGTCTTCGGAGGACTTCTCTAAGATAACTAACTGGATTACATTAAACTTATATCGGTAAAAATACGAAAAGGCCATAATACCAGCCAGTTCTTCAGTAATCGAACCACAAGTGTTCAGTGGTCATGTGTTGTACTGCTTACATTAATGTTTTCACCTAATATTTCAAATGTTATAAGAAAAGTACTATCAGATGCGAAAGAAAAACTTCCCTTAAATTTCATTATTACTTTCAAGATGTAATGAAAGTTATGTCATCTAATTCTCAATCTGCAATCTGAATCATACAATATCATAGCATTAGTATATTATGAAGCATTTATCTAGTCTTCATACACTCTTGGAAAGAACTGATTTTCTCGATTTTAATCGTCTCTCAATATTTCTGATGCATAGAAGAAAGTTTTCATCAACAATGTTCGCAATAATATTTTACATGCTTTGTTAATATATATTTATACACATATCTACCCAAAATACTAGATATTTTAGACGTAATTGGTCGAAATAATCTTTCGCAGCGGTACTTTTAGTTTTACTTATCGAAGTTTAACTGCAAACATATTTCAATGCAATAAGTACTTAGTGCTTCTTTTCGTCCAAAACTGCTCATTCTTCCTTTCAAAGAACTGAAATTCAATATCGATAAGTTGTGTTTCTTTCTTTTCAGTCCATACCTAATTTCAAAATTATCATTATTTAAAAAAAATTGGGTATTTATAGCTAAAGTATTATTTAAAAATTCTAAGTTAAGAAAATTTAAAATATTTAAGATTTAAAGTCCAGTGTACAATAAATATTTAGAACAGCAAACTATAATGTGCATAAAATTGTTATGCCATGTCATCTAGTTGCATATATTCTTGTTGCGCTGGCCCAAACGGTCTATTAATCTTGAAACGTCATTTTGCGCCGGTTCGCAATAAACGGTGTATCACTTTTAAAATTTTTGCCACCACATATTATCGCCCTGTTTTATATTTAAAGAAATTAAATAATACAGAATCTGCATGAATGCACGCATGTTTCTCGCACTGTGAAAAAACGACGGTACCTAGAGCCATCAAATTTAGAATAACGTATTTCTCCACCCTAACATAGGCATCTTCAAGCCTGAATTTGGAATTTGTTTTATTACCTATATCATATTTTGTAAAACTTTAATGAATTTTCGATTAAAAAAACTCAAGAATTTCAAAGAGAGCAATGGCAACATTGTGCCAAAAAAAAAAAAAGTTTTTTATCTCCAGCGCGCGAAACTTTCTATCGGAAATTTTAAAGATATGCTGTTTTTAAATATTTTGTGATATTGCTGTTGAACTGGATTTTATGGGGTTTAAGGGCGAAGATGATATTTCCTAAATAAAGGTAACACACAAAACATTAAGAAACGCCCCTTTGTACGTAATATAAAATCTGAAAGCTTTCATACTTTTTAATCTGTTTAATCCGTTATAATTATTTTTTCTTTATTTTATACGTATACACCCTGCTCAGTTGCAAACACAAACTACCGTTGCTCCAAACTCAGGGAAAGAATTTATTTTTCCCTCCAGAACCATGAGGATATGGATATGAGTCAATCGTTTAAAATGAAGTAGAAAAAAATTATTTATTAAATGAATACTGAAAAATTTAGAAATGGTATCTTAAGTTGTCATATTTAAATATACCAAGTTGTCATATTTTCATCTCTGTTATGGAGTATTATGAAGAAGTATTGTCGAAGTGCAAACTAAAAATTTCACAGATCTCCGATTCTTGCGTTATTATCTTTTGATGTTGCTTAACAGATGTTAAAATTTTTAATCAATTTGCTTATAATGGATATAGTTTAACATAAAGAAGCAGGCAATAAATCCTGTGATGAATATGAAAAGGAAGTACAACCATTAATAATTAAAAATTTTTACTGCGTAAAATAAATTAAAAATCTGTTGCACTTTACATGCGCAGGGGCCGTGTTAATCTTGTCTGTATCGTTCCAATTTTAGTACATGTACTGCCGAAGCAAGTACATTACACTTTACATATACTAAAATAGCTTTAATTTATGCTCGTCACTAAATGTTTCATACTGATGTAACGGCGAAATTTTATAATTATTACTAAGTAAACGAATTCTATCGTCGTTGCCAAACGATTCGTTAAATCTATATACGTCTGCATTTCTCTTTATATAGAATTAATGTAAGCTAAGAAAATAAGATGATTAAATGAATTAAATATTCTAAGATTCATACGAAATTAATAATACAGTATTAATTCATACTTATTTCATCTTACCAACTATTTAATTGTTGTTAAAATTATCAGTTTTAAAATTAAAACTTTTTTATAAGAACTAAAACTGTTCTTCTGCCACTTCAAAATTAAAACTCTTAAAATAAATAAATAAAAAAAAAAAAAAAAACTCTAACTGTTCTTTTTGCCTTTAAAGGAGGATGAACTTCTGTTATATGCTTATCCATTTTGTAAAGTGTTTGTAGCGATTAGCAAGTAAATCTTTGCAAAGCATTTTTTTCGATTAGCATTTTTATCAACAATTTGCGATCAGCATGGGTATTGCCAATTCACTTTCTTCTATTGCCAGTAGAATTTTCAAAAAATGAAACCATGTTTCTTTACATTTAACAATTAAGATTCTTAAAAATTAAAATATTTCAGGTTTACTTTTAATCAGTTATTCCAGAAAAGTTCATCTTAATGGAAAATGAATTAGTTAACTGAATATAAGTGACAAGGCCTGATGCTTCAGGGCTGAAAAATATTCCTCAGTGATGATGCCGTCGTAGAAAACTTTTTTAAGTTAAAATGGTTCCTGTGATTACATTTACGGATCAAGAATCCACAGAAAACCTTACGCAGACAATTCACCCACCCACCACCAAAAAAAAGGGGGGGAGGGGGGCAATCTGCCGTTGCTGGACCATTCCCTGTAGAGCATTGTTAAAGGATGGAATTTGAGAGAAGGGATGAAAGGACAGAAATTTGAGCATCACACTGTCTAAAAACAGTTTTAAATTGACAAAAATTACATCGAAGAAACATTTTAAACACACACCGGTAGAAAAGTGATCAAAGAATTACTTTGAACATTAGGAAAATTTTTGGGTTCAAATTATTTAAAACAAGACATGATTTCTACGTTTCGCCGCTATATCACCACTTTTAAAGGTAATAATGAAAATCTTACATAAAAACATAACTGCGCATAAAAACATGTTACATATAAACACGGATCAAATATTAAAATTTAGTGAAAGTTACATAAATATGCATAATTTATATAAAATTACACCGAATTTCATTTTGAGGCTCGTTATTAACGTATTTGACAAATTTATATATATTCTACTAATGACAGAAATTGAAAAATGAAAATAAATTTAAAAACTACGTACTAGAAATGGTCTTCTGTTATACTATACCCGAAAATAATGAACGAAATATAAACAACATGACCGATTAAAATCAAAAGTAGGAATTTTCTCCTCAGACTGCCACTAATAAGTACATGAACATTCACCACATAACGTGTTCCATACCTAGGAGGAAAAGGAAGTTCTTTCACGTTTTCTGAATGGATAACGGAAGAGAACCTGATAAAAGGTGTCTAGGTTGCTATAATTTAATAAGCCGCCAATTTCGCCAGCGGTTTCGCCAAATGCTCGCCATAAGATTTGTTCGTCAATGCATTCAGATAGAACAAATATAAAAAAATTTGCATTAAATTGTAGAATTATATTGACATATTCTTTTAATTTTCTACAGAATATTTATTTTCGTTGTTAAATTTGTGAACCCTTAATCTATGAATCCTCTTAATTTCATTTATTTAGAAATTCCTATCTGATGGTTCAAGCTAAAAAAAATGCATCTGCATATGCGTCTAATTTTTACAGTCGACTTTGTTAATAATTTTTATCCATATCAATCAACTGCACTTTGTTTTCGTTTATATTTAGCTCATAAATGCTTAGTCTCGAAGCACGATTTTGCGTTGTTTCACTTTTCATTGAGTCTATTGCCATTCAAAAAAACGTAAGATGTTATATTTTCATATATAATCTGTCTGTTATTAATTAACAAACTGAATTGTTTAAAAGTAATACTAGATGCAGTTGTTAAGTATATTATTGTTTTACCTTTTAATCTAATTGATTTACATAAAATGCATTTGATTCATGATATAGTATCTAATTGAAAAGATTAAATATTTTTATAGAATTACATTACATATTTTTCCCTTTTTAATATACGAAAGATATATAATGTTTCCATATTAGTCTAAATGCATTAATCATCTAATATCCTATAAAATATTTTCATATTCCATCTGGACCATCTTTATCGATAATCTGCATTGATAAACCATATTAAACTTTAAAAGAACTCTTTTTGGCGACCGTTAATACCTGAACTCTCTAAGGATTTTTTTTCATTTAAAATGATTTGTTATTGCGCAATTTGTCTCGAGTAATGAAGCATTGAAGAAAAAATTTGAAATATTTTTCACTTTCTGTATTTTGTAGCTAGAAAAGATTCACTCAGCTCATTGATTCAGTAAATTGCATTACTCTTACTGCATCATCTATTAATTTTTTTGATTTTCTCGGCTCATCATGTAGAAAAGAAAAAAGGAATCATGTTTTTCCTTTTTTTCTCTGCTTGAGTTTAAATAGTAAGAATAAATTTTTAAAATCCTGCTAAAGAATGTTTTCGGAGAAAAGTTAAAGGTAAATTATAAATTTTACAATATTTGAAATTTGTACTGTTAAATAATATTCAGGTTTTGTGAAAGCAATTAATTAATTTTATTATGAATTAAACTACAGAACTTTTTTTAGAAATTAGCTTTTAAATAAATTACTTAGAAGAGCTATAATTTTTTCATTGTTTTTTTCTCTTGTGTTATTAACCGTTAAGAAATCGGATGTAAATTTTATACTACATAACTGGTATGGTAAAGTCATAGGGACCTAGTATAAATACAACCGAGCGTTTCGCAATTAGCTCCCATATATGTAATCCGATATTCACAGAAATTATTAATGATTCCATTTTAAAGTGAAATAAGATGAATATTTTTGCTGAAAATTATGAAATCGGTAAAAAAATTATTTGATTTTAACAGTTAAGATTCTTAAAAATCAAAATATACGTAAATTATTTCACATTTCGTTTACATTAGTTGTTCCAGAAATATTCGCATTGATGGAAAGAAAAATGAACAGACACAAAATTCTAAATCAAAAGGAAATAAATTATACTAAAATAACATTCTTTTCCATTTTTGTATAATTATATTTACAGGTTCATAATATTTCTTTCAAAAAACTTAATAAAAAGTAAAAATTACAAAATGAACAATTAGACTAGTTTTTAAATGTAATTAAACTTCTAATAGTGTGCTTTCATTCCATATAGAAACTGTTTGTAACTTTTTGCCATTTTTATTGAATAAAATATTCTGTCCTATTTCTATTTTTAACTTAACTACCTTCAAATAAATCTTAGCATGTTTACTAAGAATTCTTTATTATGCTTGAATCATACCAAGAACTGACTCTCTTCTACCAACTTTCACTAAAAATACTCCTCCCGGATTTTAATTTTCATATAAATATAAATAACTTCTAAGTATATGTTATTTCTATTTTAATTATCTTTTGCATGTTTTCATTCGCAAACAAACGACTTCCATTCTTGGATTCTGGCATCATTACCAGACGGCTGGTGAAGAGCTGCTGCATAACTGCTGCAGTTAGATAATATTAGGTCATTTAATAACTTTATAACCACTGAATCTGTTTGACAGCAAGACATCGGTCGCAAAATGACGGAGATTGCTGAGCATAGCAGTTGTTCATTCGGATATTCTTCATATTGATATTCCGGTCGATTTGGAACTTTTTTATTACCACGATGCACGAGAAGCGAAATTACTCTGAAGTAGGCAAAAGTTTTTACCAAGTTTTCATCTACATTTAGAGTAAGGAAAATGGGAAAGAGCTTTTTTCTAAAGGGAAACTTTCGAAATGAAAGCTAGGATTTATTTACTTATTTATGTGAGATTTTTAACTCTTCTAAATAATTTATTTAAAAGCTAATTTATAAAAAATTGTTTAATTTAATTCATAATAAAATTAATTAATTGCTTTCACAAAACCTGAATATTATTTAACAGTAAAAGTTTCAAATATAATAAAATTTATATTTTTCAATCAAATAATAATCATGCAAGATTCATCTATGATACAGATTTATGTATGATACAGAATCATGCTCTAAACACAAAAATAATTTACTTTTCTATGAAGAGTTCATGATTTTAAAATCTAATAGTTCAACAAGAAAATGTAGGTTTTTAACTTGCTAAGCATTAATATCATATTATTAAATTTTACTCATAACCGCAGCTCTAATGCTAATTACTTATAATAATTTTTTTAAAATTAGAATACTGAAAAAAGTATTTGTTCGCGCCTTATGTAAATTTTGATTTTGTTCCCTGCAAGAGGACGCCTGCGAGCGCCGAACTACTTGTATATCTATTGTACGAACTTGTTCTTCACACAGTCTAATAAACGCAATAACGAACGTTTGTGTCTACTTTCCATCCGCTAACATGGTCCGTCGTGAGCCAGCGCATTTCTTTGGATGATGTGTCAAGACAATTTTTAACGTTCTGGTATAGAAGGACATTTCGTGCAGGAAAACGGATTTATATTTTGTCTGGATTGTGAAAACAGCGGCAGGAATATGGAGTCAATTTTAAAGCAAAAAGCGTATCATTAAGGGTAAGTTGACTCGTTTAATTTCACAAATAAATAGTTTACAAAATCAAGAAAATTCTTTTTCTGCCCTTGAAGTGTACGAAAATGATGTTAGTGCATTAAGTGTTGAAGTGAACTGTTTAAACGATAACATTCTTGGTACTTGTTCTGACGCAGAGTTTAGTAAATATGAAATAGAAATGAATGAATTATTTTCCAAATTAGATGCATTAAAAATTACTTTAAAGGAAGAATCAAGAAAACTTAGAAATTCAGGCAAAGATATAATAAATGCTAATGCAAACGGCTTGAAACTTCCTCGCGTGGAATTGCAGTGTTTACTTCTAATTATGTTGATTGGATATCATTCAGGGATTTATTTCTTGCCAGTGTTGGAAATAATAGTACATTAAGTGACAGTCAAAATTTGCAATATCTTAAGCTTTCTGTGAAAGGTGGAGCTGCTGTTTTACTACAGTCAGTTCAAATTTCAAACGCGAATTTATGAAAAGGCATGGGAAGCGCTTACTGAACGTTATGAAAACGAAAAGAAATAATAAACGCAGCATTAAATAAATTTAACTTCACAACCTGTTCTAAAACATGAATCAGCTTCAGGTTTGCGGAGATTAATTGATACAACACAACACAGTGTATTGATACATTAAAAATCCTTAAACAGCCGGTAGAGCATTGGATACTATGATTATTTTTCTGTTAAAAGGGAAACTTGATCATGAAACACTAAAAGAGTGGGCGATAGAGCATTCGAACAAGAAAATTTCTGCTTTCGCTGAATTCAAGCGTTTTGTTTTAAACAGAGCGAATGCTATTGCCTCTTTGGCGAGGTGCCAGAGGGAGAAGTCAATTTTGCCTTCTGAAATTAAAAAAACTCGCGGTTCAGGTAGCAGATACGCTTTTTCGTCCCAACTTGTGGCTAATGTGTGCGTTCATTGTAAGAGTAATTTCTCATTCTCAGTTATTTAAATGTGATATAGTTTTTTTAGAACTCCCCTATCAAAGAAAAATGGGATATTATTAAAAAGGAATGAATTATGTGCTAATTGTTTGAAAGATAGTAAAAAACGCATCCCATTTTTAAATGTCGTGCAGGAATGTGTAAATATTGTTCAAAGCCACATAATACAGTGTTTATGTTCGAAAAATTCAAATGATGAAAAATGTCATATACCCATGGAACACGGAACTTCTGCTATTAGTAGCAATAACGCCACGGTGCCTGTTGCGCAAGCAGTTTTATTGCCTACTGCGGTTTGTTTATGTTAAAGATATTAATGGCGATTTACAAAAAAATGCAGGATGCTAATTGATTCAGGGTAGCCAGGGCTCATTTATTCGAGAGCACTGTGTAAATTTACTTTACTGCAGCTAAAGCGCACTAGTGCAAACGTAAGTGTAAATGGCCTGAGCTCGCAAAAAATTGGAAAGGTTTCAGGTTCAGTTCAATTACAAGTAACATCTCCATTTTATAAAAACGCAAGCATTTCGGTTAATGCATTATTATTATATACCCAAGATCACATGTGACCTTCCTCAATATCAAGTTGATAGATCTGTTTTGACATCTTTCAAACATTTGTGGTTGGCAGATACAAATTGTTTCCAGCCTGGCCCAATAGATATTCTTTTGGGCGCAGATGTATTTGGCGAGATAATGCTTCATGGACGTTTAACTGTTCAGGGTCATTCGTTAACAGCCTTGGAATCAATATTCGGCTGGGTCATTATCGGAAAGACTAAAAGTGTATTGCAGACAATTGTATCGAATCATGCTAGTTGTACCAATGTTCAGCTCCAGCTTGAAAAATTTTGGAAATTGGAAGAAATTTCGGAGATAAAGCATTACACAGAAGAGGAAATTGAATGTGAAAATCATTTCAAGCGGAATTTTTCTCGTGATTCAACAGGTAGATTTGTTGTTAAGTTTCCATTTCGTAGATCGGGAAATGAACTTGGGTCATCAAGGGATGTTGCTGTACATCGTTTACAAAGCATTGAACGTCAATTTATTAAGAATAAATCTCTTTCCAGTCAATATCACAAATTTATGGAGGACTATCAATAACTTGGTCATATGGAATTGATTCCAGAAAATGAAATTGATGTTCCAGCTAATTCTAGTTTTTACCTTCCGCACCATTCAGTTCCAGATAAAAATTGTGATAAATTTCGAGTCGTATTTGATGGTTCTGCAAAATCTTCTAGCGGTATTTCTCTTAATGAGAAATTGATGGTTGGTCCACAGTTGCAGACTGATCTGACAACATTAATTATTCGTTTCAGAATTCACAGAATAGCTATAACTGCAGATATAGAGAAAATGTACAGACAAATTATACTAAAAGATGCAGACTTTCAGAGAATAGTCTGGCGCGATTCACTTTATAAAACTAATTCAGGATTTTCGATTAACTAGGATTGCTTACGGTACTGCATCAGCTTCGTACCTTGCGGTAAGATGTTTACAGCAGTTAGCCAATAGATGAAGCAACTAATTTTCCATTTGGCTTCCAAGACATGTCCCTAGGGACTTCTACGTTGAATGATTTGATGTCCGGAGCCAATTCAGTTACTGAAGCTATAGAATTACAAATGCAATTGAATCAGATGTTGTCACGTGCAGGATTTATTCTAAGAAAATGGGCTTCTAACAGCAAAGAAGTCTTGAATTCAATTAATCCAGATTTGTGCTTATCAAATGTTTCTTTGAACATAGACAATGATGATACTGTAAAAACGTTAGGTATCCTGTGGCATTCCAGCTTCAGATATGTTTTTCTTCAAAGTCAAATTCATCATATCCTGAAGTCTTAACCAAACGAACATTACTTTCAACAATCGCAAAGACCTTTGACCCTCTTAGGATGGTTGGCACCGATCACACAGTTCGGTATAAATTGATCATGCCAAAGATTGTGGAAACATCAGTTGCAGTGGGATGTAAAAGGTTCCTCCAGATATTGAATGTGAGTGGAAACAACTTACAGAAGATATATTGTTTATTCATTAAAAGTATCAAATTTCACGATTCTTGTTGGTTGAATCAGATAACCAGTTTCAACTGCACGGGTTTTGTGACGCCTCAGAGAAGGCCTACGCCGCTGCAATTTATTATCGTTCCGTGCTAGATGCTGGACAAATTAATGTTCAGTTAGTGATAGCCAAAACAAGAGTTGCACCACTAAAAACCATATCACTTCCCCGATTGGAAAACTTTGTGGAGCATTACTGTTGACTAAATTAATGGATTTCACCTGTAGGGCTTTAAATACTCTATAATATATCGCAAGTTTATTTTCATACTGATTCCACTATTGTATTAGCCTGGATAAGATCTCATGCAAGCCGATGGAAGACCTTCGTCGCCAACAGAGTAGCAAAAAATCCAGACTTTATCCTCTCCTGTCCAGTGGCATCATGTGAGTGGAAATGCTAATCCTGCTGATCTTGCAACCCGTGGTGTGTCATCATCTGCACTGGTTACTTCATTGTGGTTACGTGGTCCAGATTTATTGTATAATTTATTTCCTTTTCAGCAAGCATTATCTGCACCACTACTGGATGATTCTGTGCCAGAGCAAAGATGTGCTTTACAGTCTACAACTGCTGCCAGTCACTTGACAGACGCTCATGATTTATTTTATAAATATTCCTCTCTCACTAAACTTAAACGTGTTGTAGCATTGTGTCTGAGGTTTGTAAATAACTGTAAAAATTCAGAAGATCAGGTAAGTGGATTTCTAAAAACAAGTGAATTAACTAAAGCTATGCATGTGTTAATTAAATTAATGCAATATGTTGAATTTAAGAATGAAATTAAACACTTTAGGCAGAAATCAATCATTATCTGGTACAAGCAAAATTTTATCTTTGAATCCATTTTTAGATAATTTAGGTATTCTCAGGGTGGGCGGGGGGGGGGTCGCTTGCGACATGCAAACCTTGCATATGGGTTTTAGGCATCCAATTTTGCTTCCAAAGAAGCACATTTTAACTCATCTCATTGTTAGACATTACCATGAAAGACTTTTGCATGCAGGTCCACAAACTTATGCAATCTTGCATTCAAGAACAATATTGGATCATAAATGGTAGAGCTGTTATCAGAGATTTAGTTAGGAAATGTATAAAGTGTTGCAAAATTAGAGCATCTGTCACTAATCAATTGATGAGCGATTTGCCGTCTAGTCGCGTTTACGCCTGCTCCTGCGTTTTTGCGCTGTGGAGTGGATTACGCAGGTCCTTTTCAAATTAAAGCAAATAAGGGTCGAGGCTCTAAGGTCATTCAAGGCATATATAGCTCTATTTTGTTTGTTTTACGACAAGAGCTATTCACTTAGGATTAGTGACAGATCTTTCAGCAGATGCTTTTATTGCAGCTCTCAAGAGGTTCATTTCCCGCAAAGGCAAAAGCAGTGATGTATATATAGTGATTGTGGCTCCAATTTTGTTGGAGCAAAACGCAAGCTCATGGAATTTGAAAGGCTTGCTAGATTTGCAACTTATAACCAAAACGTTGGTAGATATTTGGTTGATAATTGCATTAAATGGCATCTAAACGTTCCAGGTGCGCCACATATGGGTGGACTCTGGGAAGCTGGCATAAAATCAACAAATACCATTTAAAACGAGTAGTTGGTGAGGCGAGATTGACATATGAAGAATTTGAAATATTTCTCACACAAATAGAAGCTTGTCTTAATTCGCGACCTTTAACAAGTTTGTCTAATGATCCAAATGACTTGTCAGCATTAACGCCTGGTCATTTTTCTTATTGGTAGATCATTAACAAGCATTCCTGAACCAAATTACATTGAAGTTTCCCATCTCACTAGATGGCAACATATTCAAAAAATGGTTCAACAATTTTTTGGAAAACGTTGGCACAAAGAATATCTGTGTCGATTACAACAAAGACCAAAATGGCTTTTGCCAACTAAAAATCTTCAAGTTAATGATCTGTGTCTCATAAAGAAGGATAACTTACCTCCAACTAAATGGAAAATAGGGTACAATTACTCAGTTACATCCTGGTCTTTGATAGTGTTGTTAGGGTTGTGACTATTAAGACTTCAGATGGCATGGTTAAAAGAAATATTACAAAATTGTGTCCATTACCAATTTGAGTTTTAATTCATATGTATTATAAATTAAGTATTATATCATAATTTTAATACTGTATTGTGTTTTTAAATTTACTGAATTTTTAACCACTAAATGTTGAAATAGTATTTCAAGGTGGGGCGGCATGTTCGCGCCTTTATGTAAATTTTGATTTTGTTCCCTGCAAGAGGGCGCCTGCGAGCGCCGAACTACTTGTATATCTATTGTACGAACTTGTTCTTCACACAGTCTAATAAACGCAGTAACGAACGTTGGAGTCTACTTTCCATCCGCTAACAGTATTTATAATACTTATTCCCATATTTTAATGTCATACGTTTTGACACACACAAAGAATCAGTTTCATAGTTACCTATTACTGTTTAATACAAATAATAAGAAAAGTGGCAATACATTTTTTTAATAATAGTATTATAATACAATAACTAAAAAATCTGAACCTTTCAGATTTTATATTATGCCTAAAAGGGGCTTTTTTTAACGTTTTGTGTGTTACTTTGTTTATGAAAACCACAAGAAATTCAATTCAACAGCAATTCCTCAAAATATTATTCAAAAACTAACAGCTTCGCTGGCAGCCTTCGTCTGGCTTTTAAATGTACCAGAAAAATGGCTGAAGGGCTAAACGTTAAATTTAAAATCTGCGTAGAATTTGACTCTGCAGAACAGCTTCATAAGAAAAAAAGTTATTACGTATAATAAAATTACAATGAAATAAGCAATATCCCTTAATACAAATATTAATTATCCTAATAAATAAATTAACCAACTTCCCTTTGCAAATTCTTAAGAACTCAAATGGTATAAAGGAGGTTAAAAACTTTGTTTCCCTAAAAAATCACTCAAAACTTTTCAATATCTTAAAAACAGTGAAATGAGCAATAAATAACATAAAAGAATACAAAAAACAAAAAAATTCTGAAAAGCAAAGTATAATTAATGATAACTTATCTTATATTTTCAAGAGAAAAAGATTACAATGAAATAAGCTATATCCCTTAATACAAATATTAATTATCCTAATAAAAAAATTAACCAACTTTCCGTTGAAGAAAAAAAATCATGCAAAACTTTTCAATATCTTACAAACAGTGAAATAAGCAAAAAATAACATGAAAGTGACTCAAAAAAAAAAAACATAAAATTCCGCGCAGAACGTTTCTCTGCAGAACAAATTTATAAAAATAAATAAATAAATAAATAAATAAAAAATCTGAAATGTTTTCAGATTTTAAATTACGTCCAAAGGGGCGTTTTTTTAACGTTTTGAGTGTTACCTTTATTTATTAAATATCATGCTCTTTGCACTTAAACCATAAAATTCAGTTCAAGAGCAATATCGCAAAATAATGTTAAATTAAGCATATCTTAGAATTTCCGATATACACAGTCTCGCGAGCTGGAGATAAAAAGTATTTTTTATTATATATAAACGTTGCCATTTCTCGCTTTTGTAAATCAAAAATTCGTTAAAGTTTTACAAAATATAAAATCTATAATAAACAAATTCCAAATTTGGGATTCAGATGCCCATGTTCGCAGTAGGATTTCGTCATTCAAAATTCGATGGCTCTATGTACCATTGTTTTATCACAATGCGAGAATAGACAATCATTTATGCAGATTTTTCATTATTTAATTTCTTCAAATATAATGCAGGACTCTAACATTTTGTGGCAACAGTTTGAAAAGTGAACCGATGTTTATGAGTCCGACGCAAAATCGCAAAACGAAAACAATAGTCCTTCAGGGACAAAGCCCCTTTGGACTAATAAATAAAAATAAAAATGTATTATATATATAAAAAAATGACAATGAAATATGACAATCTCTTAAAAATAGTGACATATGAAATACGATGAAAAATTGTTGCCAAACCCCTATTTAAAAAGAATGAAACTATTCAAAATGACGCGATTTCATCAAAAATCTATCTACAGC